ATTGCCCTCCCCCATTTATCCTCCCAGAAGACAGAAACCAAAGGATATTCGCTCTCCAGTGACTTTTCCTCTGTTTTGCAATCCTATCGAATATTTTATATACCCAACGCAAGGCGGCACGATCATTCACCTCCTGCTTGAGGCGGTAGAAGGCGGCGAAGTCTCCGGCGAGCAGTTTTGTTGTCGTCGAAACAGCCCGACCCTTTCCAGATCTTGCAGCCATTCCTTCTCACACAAGAATCTAGTCTTTATCTTCCAATTTTCTGGGATCCAGTCCCAGATATTCTTTTGGGAATGCGCATAATCTCCGGTTTGGCATCCCGACAAACCCAAAGGGCACGGCCGTCCCGCCCACCCTAAAGGGTCCATCATGTAATCGGGTCCTAGATCCTGCAGAAAGACATCTTTGTGCATGGCCTTCCCGCAGTGAACGTAATGCCACAGCCATGCCTTAGTCCACGGCACGAGGACTCTAAGCGGCCTGTCAAGGCGCCCCGTAGTGCTGCGTCTGCTGATGATGCGGTCCCTGAACATCGGATGGTGCTCGAGCTGACTGGGCGAGATGTCTCGTAGCTCAAAGTAGAAATCTCGCTGTAGGACTAGCGGAGACATCTGCACCCAACCCGGGCGGGCGGACGTGATACCGGGCTCAAGGCCTGGGTCGGGCCCTAGCATAAAGAGGGACAGGGTACGTAGCGCATCGAGTCGTTTGATATCGAGACTTGTCACCGTATCAGAAAACGGCTCTATATTATCCCACAGACGCAAGCCTGCGTGCTGGATGCGGGCTCGGTCGAGGCCCAGAAAAGGATCCCACCAATCTAGGAAGGTCTCTTCTTGATCCCGATCAGACGTGTGCCCGATGTTCCAGGCCTTGGAAACGGTGAAGATGTCGGTCTCATAGCAAATATACGGCATTGTAAAATGGAACTTATCGAGTGCGGGTGTCGGGATGCCGGCCCTCCTTAACTTGGCTGCGACTTTATGACCTCTCGGGTCGTGGTACTTCTTCCGCCATATCTTCCGTGACTCGTAGCATGCCTGTAGAGGCCCAAAGACCTCTGAGCCTTTTGGGTGCACCACCACGTAGCGGACGTACCAGGTTGGGTGCTTCATGGTGGCATGGTGTTCTGCCGACTGCCACTGAGACCACGACGCAACCCTCACGTTTGCTCTCGGGTATACCCTCGCGTTGACACAGTCGATGCAAGGCAGCTGCGTAATGATGCGCGCCGGCTGCGGCACAGACTTCTAAATCCTGCGTTGAAGCTCGGCGGGCAGCCTTGGGAAGAGATGAAATTGGGTGGCCGGCGGTGGAGGGGGCGGGGGATGCTGAGAAGCCCCTGGTGTTCCGTCCATGGTTGCTAGTCGTGCCGATGCGTTGTAAATCAGGTGTCTGTTTATGGTACCCTACTTTTTGGTTATGATCAAGGTGGGGATAGAAACAGTAGTAAAATGTAGCTGCAATCTGCGCGATATGCTGGTGTCGTGGGCGAGAGGAAGAGGGAGGGCCGGAAGGGTGTAGGCGAAAGGCACCCATTGGGCAATGCCGGTGATGCCTACTGACAACTTGGAAGGCAGCTACGAGCATGCTAAATTTGAACATTTGAACAGAGCAGTGGTAGCAGTGGTGACGGGCCGATGTGGAAGGGGCGGATTATGTATACAGTGCCATTGTCACAGCTTTCTTGGGGCAATTACAGATAAGGAGGGAAGTGAAGGTAAGTGGCTCCAAGCAAAGGTCCCATTGTTGCATGTTTGGTAGGTCATGTGAATAAATACCTTGGACTGTCAACTTCAAAAAGGGGTGCCCCCCTTCATACCGAGCCTTAAATACAGCCCATAACTACTGAACCGGCACCATCAGACGGTCAATATCAGGGCCCCAGCCACCATCGATCCCCTCAATCACAATCGTGTTCGACGACCCCTTCTTCAAGTTAGCATGCAGCGTGCTGCTCGCCGGATTCCCCGTCGCCTGCAAGAAGGCCACCTTCCGCCCACCATCCCCATTAACCCTCACGTTGGCGTACCGCGGGCCGGTGTCACCGTTGAGGAACTTGATGCGGATGGTGGTCAGGCCGTCGATGTCGCTGCGGATGTTGTTGAAGGTGACGCTGCCGCGGTCCGGCCCGCCGATGTACCCCGCCGCGACCTTGCCCGAGCACCCCGAGCAGTCGACGTTGCGCGCTTTGCCGCCGTACGCGGCCTTCTCGGCCTCGTAGCTGGTCTCGGCGGGCGGGTTCTGCCACGAGGCGAAGTTGGACGTGGGCACCCAGCTGACAAAGTTCTTCATGCTGACGCTAGTTCCGCTGATGCTCAGGGGCAGCCAGATGTAGGTGCTGGCCATGAGGTTGTCCTTCATCCACCGGTCGCCCAGGTAGATGGCGCTGCTCTCGCTGGTCTTGAGGATGTAAGTGGTTTGGGAGTTGTAGGTGTTGGTCCCGCTGTCGGCAAACTTCTTCCAGCTCGACCAGCCGGAACGCAGGTTGGTGGACGTCGTGTACTGGTTGTCGTTGGAATCCCATCCCGTCATCATGGACGCAAACATAAAGTATGTGTTGCCCAGCTTGACCATAGCAGGGGCCTCGACACGGTTACCACCTTCGAGCTTCCACGAAAAGACGTCGCTCGTCGGGGATGTGAAGTCATCCGAGAGTGCAACAATGCGAAGACCGTATTTCCGCTGTTTCGTATCAGTGCTTGATCAACTTGCATCAAAACAGTGGGTACAAACGTCTTCAGTCAGCAAGTATCCCTTGCCATCGTCGTCTTTAAACAATCCCATATCACGGCTCTCCCTCCCCAACCTGCAATTCACCAAGTTAGCAGCTACAAATGGTTTGGCATTTGACAAAAAGTTACTCACGGCTGAAAGCTCCTAAGATACTGATACTTCCCACACACGGTATCACCCGTCGCCACCGCAACTCTGGCCTCACCGTACGAGCTGCTATCCATGTGCATCCACAGGACATACTTGCGCGTCTTGTCGTTGTAAATGACCTTGGGCCGCTCCACGACGCGGTTGGGTCCCAGGTCGCCCGAGCTGGTGCGCGACAGCAGCGCCCCCACGTAGGTCCATTGCACGAGGTCGGTCGACGAGTAGCAGTTGACGTTGGAGAAGGAGTGCCCACCGCTCTTGTCCTCGCCTATCATGTAGTACACGCCGTCGACTTGGATGAGACCCGCGCCGTGCGCTTGGAGGTGCTCGCCGTTGGGCTGGATGGCAGGAGAGGTAAGTTGGTTTTCTTTTCTTTTTTTTTTGGCTTTCCATGGCAAGTTCTGTGTCCTGCTTTTTATAATTCATTTCCCGGATTGGCTTACCGTCGTCCATGTTCCTCCCGGTACGACCTGCAATGATGCTGTCGCGACGCGCGAGAGCGCTGCCGCTAGCGCGACCTTTAGGAAGCGCATTGTGGGTGAAACTTGGGACGGATGGTGGAGGATTACTCACTTCAGTCGACCGATAGTCAATCGGGAATGTGGGCTCGACATAAACCGACGTTCCCCTTTTATACGCGCTAATATCACTCATTGTAACAGTAGCTTCGCGGGGGTTGGGTTGGGCCGGTATTGGTGGACAAATGCAACGGCTGGGAGGCCCTAGTTGCTAGTGGGTTAATAGGCCCCGAGCGTAATATAAGTTGCCTTCCCTTCGGAGGGTTGGAGGCCCATACCATGACTAGCGCTTGATATCAGATGAAACCTCCCATGCTACCCAAAGCGGAACATCCTCCCATACCCGGACCGCGGCCCGCTGAGCATTTGCCATTTACCCGCCGCGCGTGCTGTCGCACAGGCACCTCTCTGTCTCGGGCGGATCGCTCTTAAATCGTTATAAGCTGGTATATTTAACGCTCATGACCAAGGGTGAAGAAATACTCAGTCAACTTGTCGAGAGTAGCCTTTGGATCCCGGGCGGTAATGTCCCAGCCCGTATCCTTCAAAGCCGTCCAGACCCCGTAGTCGGGAACGGAATGCTGAATGTAGAAATCCACATCCACTCTGTCCTTCTCCCACTTTTGCTTGTCGGCTTCGTCGATGGGTTCCGGAACATCCATGAGGATGTAGTCGTCGAGCTTATACCTCTTCAGGGAATTGAGGAGCTCGTGGCGCCACATGAAGAAATCTTTCCTTCCTCACAAGCCTTTTGATGGATTTGATGATGTTATGCTTCTCGTTCCGATCGTCGATGAGCATGTTGACCAAGACCGACTGAGAGACGAAGAAGTCTCGCTGGGCTTGGAGAAGCTGGGGCAACATGGCGAGAGGTTCGTTATCCATCTTGAGTGATGTTGTTGCCTACAAGAGTAAAGGTGTTTAATTATGCAATGGAGCTAGCGAAGGCTCTTAACCTGCGGCGATGGAAGAAAAAGAAAGGTGTGTGGATCAGGTTATTTGTATCCGGTGCGGAGTGCAGAGGGTGCAGGTACCGATGGCGATTTGGGTTTATTAGCCAAAGGTAGGAGTGTGAGCGGCAGTATCTGGGTTATCTGGGATGGTAGCCCTAAGGTAGCGTGTGTATGTATTCTGGTTTATCAGACTCATCAAGCTAATACTCCGGTGAATAATTCGTCCCCTAGGAACTTCAGTCTGAACCTACGAGAGAAGTTGGAAGAGACGGCAGACTCACGGTTGCCGGGGCTGCGACATGTGCAAAGGAGGCCCTGACGGTATTCAGACACCCTAATGTCCATCCGATATTAGACGCAGTATCACCGCTTCACTTAGAGACCACCACGAAGCCAACACTTCGATTTCCCAGCAACTCCTCACAACTGATGAGCCTCGCCTTTGTCTAACAGCAGTAGAATTGGTACACTCACCATCAGCGCCAGTACAATGCCTTCCCCAAGCCAAAACGCCAGGCCCTGCCCTCATATTGAAACCCTCCAACGCCACTACTATGCCCACCCAAGTGACAACCCCATCCTACATATATATACACCCATGCTATCCCGCCATGCACGACAATGCACCCCTGAAGCAAACCACCCTACGTAATTCAAGAAAAGCCCTCCACACAGTTACACCGCCATGAAGCCGTGTGTGGCTATATATAACATTGGAACATCATACAGACACCATCCCCAAGGCTCTGCACCAGCCCCGCCAAACTCAGTGAAATTCAGCCGTCCCCGTCCCCCGCATTGCCGACAGCATCATAGCCGCCTCCTGCTCCTTCCTCAGCTGCTCATCGGGACACCACGGCGACACCGCACCGCTACCTCCCATCCTTGCCCGCTGATCAGGCTGCGGCTGCGGCGACGGTTGCGGTTGCAGTTGAAGCTGGCGCTGTGGTTGCAGCTGCGGAATCCCTATCCCCTTCCCCTTCCCCTTCACCTCCTTCCCCCCCATCAGCAACGGCGCAGGCCGGCCGAGGCCAGGCGTCACCCGTTCGGCATCGCGTCCTGGCCCCTGTCCTTGTCCTGGTTGCTGTTTCCCGTCCGCCCACGCCTCCGAAGCGAGCTGTTGCTGCAGCCACACGGGCGGGTAGCCCAGCCACCCGACCAGGGGGTCGGCCAGGAAGAAGGGGTTGTGTCCGGGCGCGACGGGGCTGCCGACGTTGGAGGAGATGCCCTTCCGCGGGCCGGGTGAGTCGACTTTGGGTTCCATGGGGACGAGCTTCGCGGTGTGGTACTGGTATTGTTCTTGCTGCTTTTGTTTGCTCTCCTCCTTGCGGTGGTTATGGGGGTGGGTGGCGTGTGCCGGTTGTTGTTGGCTGGACGCGTTCGGGACGATCAGGGGTGGGAGCTGTAACGGGGTCGCGGGTCGGGAGAGGCGGGTTTCTTGGTGGATTCGAGCAATGAGCCGGTCGGTCTCGCGGAAACCGGCGGTTATTGCCATGTCGATGGCTGAGGTGGCCGGCGCCGTGGTTGTAGGTTGTGGTTGGGGCTTGTATTGTGGATCGGGATGGTACTGGGGAGGCGGTTTTGGGGTTGTCGGCGTCGGTGGGGGGAGGCGCCGGGAGTCGGGTACTGGCCCAGGCGAGGGCGGGAGGGTAGCGGGCGTGGCAGGGACAGGCGTCGTGCGCGGCTGTGGTTCGCCCACGTCGTTGAGCGAGACACGCGTCTCGACGCCGCGTACCATGCGCCATGTGACGGCCGACTTGCGCTTACGGCTCTTGACCGCAGCAGAAATGGAACTTGCGCTGTCGCGGACGGGGAAATCGCCTCTCGGGGGTGCATTCGGGGCCCGGGAGGATGCCGGCACCCGCTGGGCGTTCTACAGTCGGAGTGTGACGCGCTTCGACGACGCGACTCGGCTCCGTCGGAGCATCTTGAGGACCCAGTGTCACCGGTGCCGACTTCCGAGGCCGCTTGGCTTTTGGTCTGGTTGCGGTAGTCGGAGATGAGGCAGCAGATCGAGCTGGGCTGCCCCCGGTGATGCGCCGCAGATCGTCCATGATTTTGTAAACCAGGTACGCCCCGTTTTGTTTGTGATGAA